CGGTTTTATTAAAGGTCGGAACTCCTGTGATAATATGAGAAGGCTCCTTAATATCATCCAGTTATCCCAGGGTCACAGAGATTGTGCTTGTGCTCTCTCTTGATGCAGAGAAGGCATTCAACCGGGTCGAATGGTCTTATTTGTTTTATGCACTGGAGGAATTTGGCCTGGGAGCTAATTTTATCAAGTGGGTCAGGGTTCTCTACAATACGCCAACTGCAGCCGTTCTTACTAACGGGCTGAGATCTAACAATTTTTCCCTTCACCGTGGTAATAGACAGGGCGATCCACTCAGCCCGTTACTATTTAACCTGGCCATTGAGCCCCTGGCCCAAGCAATAAGGCAGACGACTCTAATATCGGGTATTTTCATTAGAGAGAAGGAGCATAAAATTACTCTTTATGCGGATGACGTCTTAATATTTGTATCGAGGCCACAAACCTCTATTCCCTGCCTGACCCAAGTCATCTCATCATTCAGTGTTTTTTCAGGGTACAAAATTAATTTCTTTAAGTCCGAGGCCATGCTACTGGGGTCGATAACAACTATCCCAAGCCTATCAGAGCCATTTCCCTTCCGTTGGTCACCCTCTGGTTTTGTTTACATAGGAATATATGTAACTCATACATATAGCCAGATGTTTAAGTCCAATGTATCTCCCCTACTGGATGCTATAAAGGCAGATCTAGAACGCTGGGCTGCCCTGCCTCTTTCCTGGTTGGGCAGGATTGCTCTCATTAAGATGAACATCCTGCCCAGACTTCTTTACCCACTGCAAATGATCCCTATTTTGTTATCTAACAAGGTTATCAAAGTTCTTGAAGGCTGGTTGAGTTCCTTTATTTGGAGCAAAAGGAAGCCCCGACTGAAGATGGCAAAACTCCAAATGGTTGGTTCTGAAGGGGGTTTAGATGTACCAAATGTCAGACTTTACCAACTAGCAGCACACCTCCGGGTGTTAGCTGACTGGCTTAAAAATGATACATCCTCAATCTGGCTCGACATTGAATCTTCTCAGTCCAAATGCCCTCTGTGGAATCTGCTGTTTGTGAACGACTTTAAATCTGTCAAAGACCTCTGTAGTAAGTTAGTAACCCTATCACTTTAAGCGCAGTCAAAGCCTGGAGATCCATTCGTACTATAGAGGGCCGTGCTCAGTTTTCATCCCCTCTCACTCCCATTCTGGAGAGCCCAGACTTTCTGCCAGGCTGCCATGACCAGGGCTTCAGAGTGTGGCACAACCAGGGAATAACAAAACTCGGTGATCTGTTTGATGGCCAGACTCTACTATCATTTTTACAGCTACAGCAGCAATATGGCCTGCAGAAATGTTTTCCGATATTTACAAATCAGACACTTCATCACCAAAAGTACCACTTTAACAACTAATAATACCACTTCACATGTAGAAAAGGCACTGTCTTAACACATATCCAAGAAACGTATTAGCGCATTTTATAAAGCCTTGAGCTCCAATTCATCTCTTACTTCCCAAGCTACTAAGCAAGCCTGGGAGAGAGACCTGGGCATCACTATTGACGACCTAGACTGGCAGGATATTTGGGTCTATGCCAGGAAAATATCTATTTGTAATCGAACCAAATCTATTCAGTTTAAAATCCTACATCGCACACATATAACACCTGCTCTCAAAAACAAAATGGATACTAATGCTTCTCCACTCTGCAGTAAATGTAACTCTGAAACTGGGAACCTTATTCACTGTTTCTGGTCATGTGTGAAGCTACAACGCTACTGGTCTGGTATTGTGAAAGAACTGTGTGTTATTTTTGGTGTTCCAATAGAGTTAAACCCTATGTGCCTTCTACTTGCTCTTCCAGATGGTCATATTACAAATACCAAACACAAGAGGCTATTTAATTTACTGACTTTTGAAGCTAGAAAAAATGTTTTGATGTTCTGGATCAAGGATGTTGCTCCAACGAAGAAGTCGTGGCATAACCTTGTAATGGAGTGCATTCCTAACGAATACATCTCTTGTATGCTTCACTCTTCGGTGGATGCTTTCCAGAAGGTTTGGCTCCCTTACTTGGACTACATTGGACCAACATTGTCATCTTCCATATTACGAGGGTTTCCTCCTTCAGCTTAGCGCTCTGTACTTTGGATTTGACTGTTTGTATGCTTTCCTGTAACCTTGTTACCCCTGTCATCTGTATTTGTCTATTTATTTTTGATAATTACTACTATCTAATTTAATTTAGTTATTGAGAATGGTAGAGGTTGGGGATCCCTACACTGTACAGTGTTTTTATTTATTTTCGTATTTCGTATTCTTATTTACGTACCTTACTTGTCATGTCATGTCTAAGCTGTTTTGTTATGTGTTGTATTTGAAAAATGTAATAAAGATATTATAAAAAAAAAAAAATGGGGCTGCAACGGAGCTGATACAGACTGATACAGATTTGAAATATCTATGACGTCAGGAACGAGGAGCTCCGCCTATATGGCCAACTCTCCACCTATCAGGGGAATGAGAGGTTGCGTGGCATGGTAACAGCATGGTAACAGCATGGTAAAATGACGCTCGTGCCTCGCCCCCCTCCTTTGCAGGGGGGCGTGGTCAGCTGCAGCTCACTTGCCACAGACTCAGCCCTTGTGAAGACAGGGCTGGAATAGAGCGAATAGAGCGAAATGAGGCATGGGTAAAATGCATGGTCTGTTTCCAGAAGGTATTTTGAAAAAAAAACTTCACAGACATGTTTTATATAGGTATGGGCCTACAATATATTATTCAAATATAGCATGATAGGTCCACTTTAAGTGATGGCAACAAAGAGCACATACAGTATAGCAGAGTTGGGACCAAGTCAGGTAAGTATTTGAAATCAAGGCCGAAGTTAAGTGCCAGATCCTAAGTTTAAATCCTACCCAAGTCCTAACGTGCTCTTCACCACATGCTATGGCAGTTTGACGAAAGAGTAATACTGAATAATATTGGCTGATCATGTGGGAATGTAACTGTTGACTTGGAATGAATAGCAGTAATGTTAGATAATGTCACCAAATGAAATTATTTGTGGCAAACATTGTGGACAACATGCTTTTTTATTTTAAGGCTTGGGGGAATTTTCCAGTGAAAAGGGCCAAGTTCAAGTAAAGTCACAAGTTATTGGTGCAAAAGTCCAAGCCGAGTTGCTAGTCCTTTTTGATCAAGTGGAGTCTAACGTCATCACATGTGTGACTCCAGCCATGCTCTGTGTCGATCACACAGTGGCAGTCCCACTGATGTTTGACTGGTTAGCATGCAGTAATGGAGGTTGTACATGTTGATGTTCAAAGTTCATGTTTACAGTATTGTTATACGTTTATTGTTTGATTACTGTTTGGGGATCATTTAAAATAAATATATTCTCAGTTTTATTTCATTTGTAATATTTGGAAACAGGTGTGTAAATGTCTGTGGGACGAATACAGGTATTCTGATTCTAAGATTGTGGCTTTTTGACAATTGTGCTTAATTTCCCTTGAACACTCACAGAGGCCTCACGTGGCCCCTTCTCACCAGGGGCGGCGCCAGGGGGGAGCTAGGGGGTGCTGAAGCACCCCCCAGGATTGCCAAAGCACCCCCTAAGCACCCCCAAGAAATATCTATTTTTTTTTTTTTTCGAAAATTATTATTATTATTTTTATTAAATTAAATTAGAAATATTAATGATTACATCAATGCATATGTGAAACAAACACATTTTTGACCAAAAACATAAAGCCAACACAGGTGATATGATTAGGCCAATGGTCAGCACCCATTCGATTTTTGACCTACCCATAGGCTAAATTACTTTGTGACACTTGATTGACTTCCTGTTAGCTAGAGCGCCAAATGATTTGCTAACAGCAAAGTGAAAAATTGATCGTTTTTTAGTCCTTAAACGACCACGTGTGGACACTCAATCAAAACCAACTGAAAGCGAGAGGAATTCTGCACATAATAGGCCTCGTGAGTACAAGTAGCTTACTTCTGGGTCTCTGTGTTTCATTCAAGCCCTGCTCTGTGTGTGTGTGTGTGGCACGAGCCATTTTGTGTGCGTGCGTGCGCGAGCGAGCGAGAGAGCTCGCCTCGCGCACCAGGAGATCTATCTACCGGAGATCGTTGTGGTTAGCATCTGGTGCTAGCTAGCCAAGCTAATGGATATAAGGAGCTTTTTCAACAACAAGGTGGAGGGAGAACTCTCTCCTGTCAGACGGAGAGTCTCAGGTAACCTCAGCTCAGGTGAAGTAAAGGACTCTCAGTGTTTAGATAGTTAACTTTAGTCTAGTTATCTCAGTGGGTCTCAAACGGTTTGTTTTAAAAGGGGAGTGATTTGTAAAATATCTATAAAGAAATAGAAAATCTGTTGACAGTTCTGTTTCGTATGGGTGTTGAGATGTATCCATAGATCTCTTAATGTTGCTCTCAAAGTGCACCAGATTGATGCTTTTAACTTAAATATGTAACAAAAAATCTTCCCGGGGGAGCTAGCCCCCGGACCCCCCTAGAGGAGGTGAGGACCCTCCTAGAGGAGGTGAGGTCCGCTCCCCACTTGTAAAAATAGCACTTTACCCCTGCCTATATGCCGTGAGCTGATTATCGAGCCTTCATTGTAACAGTCGCGGGTGCACTGTGTGTGTGTGCGTGGGGAGTGTTGCAGTAGAAAATTCAACTGTAGAGCTGGTGCATTAATGGAGAACCCTAAATGTGTGAGCACCCTCTATGAAACGTCAAGCTACCCCACAGCACCCCCTAGAGAAAATCTCTGGCGCCGCCACTGCTTCTCACTGACACTCTGTGTGTGTCCATGTAGTGTAGTGATGCAGGATGGTTTCACCAGAAGGTTCCTGTCAGTGTTATTTTCATGTTTGCACTTCAGGGTCCTTTTCTTGTAAGTGGAACGAGCATGTTATTAAAAATAAGAGTGAAAAAGCCACAATGTGACTTTAGAATTGTGTTTGAGCTGCAGGTGTGTGAGATGTCCTCACAAATCAGAGTTCTTACACAGGTGGAGTGCTCCTCGTCTGTGTAGTCGAAATTGTCGACTTTCTGCTTGAAGGAATCCAGGATCTCACCGTGTCGGGCCATGTCTGTGGCCAGGATCAGCGTGATGGTGCCCTGAAAAACAGCACAACATGAAACACAAAACACACACACACACACACACACACACACACACACACACACACACACACACACACACACACACACACACATACTTGTCGTATCTGCTTGAAGGACTCAGGGTCAAACGTGGAGAAGATGTTGCAGTCGGGCTGAGAGAAGATCTGGAAGGCCACAGCACAGTGATGGTTCTCCAGGGGGGAGATGTCGTTGTAGCGGACTGCCAGGTCTGTTCTGGCATTTACTTGATACCTGGAGGAGAGGGAGAGGTAGAGAGGAGGGAGGAGAGGAGAGAGGGAG